TCCTAATTTTTCATCCCACATTCACATTACACCATGTGCTCAGATCTCACCTGTGCAGACTCAAGTTTTGTGGGGGCAGAGATCATAGTGTCTTCTTCTTTGTAACACCATGGCACCAAGTTCAGTACCTTATACACAGGAGGAAGTCAAATAGTTGTTGAAATGGATAAAAAAGTGCTCCAAGGCATAGGACAGAATTATTCCCTTGGAGAAAAATAAAATGACATCTAAGCCTTTCAATGTCAACTAAACATTAGATGTATGCACACTCTGACTCCCTCTTATAAAAAACTGAATAAAAAGGGATTCTAGATCAAAAAAAAGCCAAAAGAAAATAAGAGAGGTCATCAAAGTACCACTTGTATCTGCCACGTGTAGCCCAACATACATGTCACAGGGAGACAAGCTTACAAGGAAATACATGTTCTGCACAAGTCACTGCTGCCAAAAGCATCTTTATCATGCCTTTGCTCCAAGTTTGGAGTTTTATTCAAAAGCCAAAGTCCAGGGTCAAATGGCTGATGTAGAGCACTTCATTAGTATACCATCCTAAAAATTCTTTTTAAGGTGATTATAAAATGTGAAAATTTAAATCAAGACATATTCTTTATTACTTTTAATAATGATTTGAAATGCCATTCCTAACTACTTACATAAATCATATGCTTATAGTCAGAGGTAATGCAGTATAATGACCATACACTTAACTACTTAAAGAACCTCTACTATCTACCTAACATTGTGCTGATTTTTGCATTTCATTTCTTCAACTTCGATGAGACCAGAAAATTCTTTAAGATTAAGGAAATGGTATCTTAAAGTAGAAGTAAAAATCAGTAGTTGACTGTACATACCTCACTTATTTAATTTTAAGTTGATACTATTTATGTTCTTTTGAACATAAAGATGTGCTTTTATGAAAAAGTACTTTGATTTCCTATTATTTGAAGGGATTTGCATAGTGTGATAATATCAGACTACACAGCATTTCTCTACAGAATGGCTTTCCAATTCATGGACACTTACTGTAATGAATGTCAATTCATTTTCCTAATATGTTATATTTGAACTTACTACTAGCTTATGTCTCTTGTATATTATTATCTGCTTAATACAAATTTTGTATATTTTCTATCTGCTTTTGTATATATTTCATCTAGCATTTGTAAAATGGAATCTATAATAAACATTGTTAAAAATATTTTTTTTAAAAGTGTGCCATCCTATCAGTTAACTTCAGTTAGAAGCTGAATGTGTAAATTGATGACTTTCCCTCAGTCCTAAAATTGCAGCAGGTTCCTTTCCCAACTGGGTCAACGAATTAACACCTCAATTCAAGCCAATACTCAGGATCAAGTTAAAAAAAAACATCATTTAAGGGATCAAGGCAAAACCTTGGCTAGTGTGAGCAAGCTGATGGAGAGTGAATTAAGCAGAACCAGAAAGAACAATTTATAATAAGACAATACCTCTGTAAGGAAAAAACAACCTCCAAAGACAAAAGGACTTTGACCAAAGTCAGATCTCCAGGGGACCTATCATGAAACATGTTACCCACCTCCTGGTGAGACTGGACAGGCTCAAGGAACAAAAAAAAACCACAGCCGCTTTGTGGACTTGTTTTGCTTGACCATGCTTATTTATTACAAGGGTTATTTCCTTATCTCTCAGTTTTTAATAAAGGAAAGGAGGAGCGGCAATAATGATGTCAAAAAATGTCACCGAAACTTTTTTTTTTGATGCATGGAGGAGAACAGAAGAGAGTTCAGAAGGAAACGCAGACAAATAAGGCAGCATTGGAAGTAACGTGGAATTTACATACTTTTTTTTTAAAAAGCAAGCAGCAAGGAATGGAGGTTCATGGTTTCATACACAATCCTCTTTTTGCATTCAACTATGTCAATGGAAATTCTCATTGCTTGGGCGTTTAGGCTCAGAATAAATTGTTAAAAAAATCTAATGCCTACACCACAAGGCAATGTTTGCCACAGCGAACATTCTTCTTTTCTAAATCAGAGATAACTTTTACAAAAAGACATTTGCACAAGGGCAATGGAAACTTTAAGTTGCACCATCTACTACTGCCTCCTTACAAATGTGTACATCTCGCTGCCGACAGCCCACACAGTCAAGTTTAGGCCGTCCTGATATTCTCTAAAAACCTAGACAATAATCAAGCACGTTCAGGACATACACACAGATGTAAAGAGGGATTATCCCTTACTCTTTTCATTTCACTTGTCTTTTTGTTAACCATGAGAAACCGATGGAAATTACACACAAAACCTTCTAGAGCCGAAATACTAAGGAGGTCACTTTACCACAAGATCAGGAAGAGCTCAAGTGTAGAGTCTCGTTACTGTACCTACAACATTATCGTACCTCCAAAATGCAGAACTACAACAGATGCTTCTAAGGAGTTGTTTGAATGTGGCACTGTGGCTACTGAAATCTTCATTCAGTATTTGTAAAGGAGATGAGCTAAAAGCCTTCCCATAATCCGGAGTGAAACAAGGACGCCCACTGTCACCAACATTATTCAATACTGTATTAGAAATGCTAGCAATAACAGTAAGAGAAGGAAAAAAATGGAAGGAATTAGAATGGGCAATGAGGTAACACAACTATCTCTTTTTGCAGATGATTTGATATACTTGGAAAATTCTAGAAATTCCACTAAAAAGCTAGTTGAAACAATAATTTTAGCAAAGTAGCAGGATATAAAATAAACCCACATAAATCATCACATTTCTACATATTACCAACAAACCCCTGCATGAAGAGATAGTAAGAGATGCTCCATTTAAAATACCATAGATAAAGCATAAAATACCTGGGAGTATACCTGCCAAAACAAACCCAGGAGAAACTACAAGAACATAGTTATAAAACATGTTTCATACAAATGATGTCAGATTTAAATAACTGAAGAAATATTAACTGGGCACGGGCAGGCAGAGTCAACATGACATAAATGTAATTCTGCCTAGTCTACTTATTCAATGCCATCCCAATTAAATTACCAAAAAGTTATTTCATTGAGCTAGAAAAAATAAAAAAATTCATTTGGAAGAACAAAAGGTCAAGAATATCAAAGGAATTAATGGGGAAAAAAAGGTAAATTTTTGGGATATGAATTCAGTATTTGCTAAAAATTGTTGGGAAAACTGGAAAACAGTCTGATAGAAATTGCGTACAGACCAATATCTCATACCATTTACCAAAACAAGGTCAAAATGGATACACAGATATAAGGGGAGATAGTACAAGTAAATTAGAAAAGCATGGGACATATTATCTATCAGACTTATTAACAGAAGAATTTATGAATAAAAAAGAGACAGAGAGCATTGTGGGATGTAAAATGGATAATTTAGATTACATGCCCAAAAAGTCATATAAACAGTGTACACCTTTTGACCCAGCAATATCACTATCAGGTCTGCTTTCCTAAGTGATCAGAGAAAAAGGAAAAGAACCTACGTGTTCTAAAATATTTATTGCAGCTTTGCGCTGACAAAGAACTAGAAACTGAGGGGATGCCCATCAACTGGGGAATGGCTAAACAAGCTGTGGTACGTGAGGCGCGGTCTAGAGTAACTGTCAGGGCAGCTAGGTGGCGCAGTGGATAGAGCACCGGCCCTGAAGTCAAGAGGATCTGAGTTCAAATCCAGCCTCAGACCAAACACTTGACACTTACTAGCTGTGTGACCCTGGGCAAGTCACTTAACCCCAAATGCCTTAAAAAAAAAAAAGAGTAACCGTCAATCGAATACTTTTCTTGGGACATAAAGAGGATGGAAAGGAACTTGTTGCCATCTCTTGAAAAAATTTTGCTTCTTTCCTATTTGAATAGTCATAAAAGCTATTTACTAAAACTGGAAGGCGACTATGCAAAATAGAGGAGGAATTTGGTTACAGGTTATACTGTAGGAGTGACCGTGTGGAGCTGGACTTGTTCTGCCTTTTATGGGATTATTCACAAGGGCTACTAGTGAATTCCCTAAAAATTCTACGCAGAAAGTTAAACTGCAGTTCCCAAAAAGCAGACATGAAATTGCTTGTGTGTTTGTATAACTACCATCTAGAGCCAAAGCCTGGTCAGGGCAGTCTTTGGAAGCAGTGTCTATCCATTAGAACGTCTCGCAGCCATCACGGAGGCCTCTTTCCTTAGTCTCCCTGTCAGAAAGCATAAATATCCACTGGGTTGGCATTAATTTGAAGAGATCCTACTGTTTCCAGTGGAAGAGAGAAGTGAGTCCAGTGTAGATGCCACAGAGAACCACTGTCTTAGCTACAGGTCTCTGGAAGCACACACTTATTTTAGGGACATCTGCCTTCAAATTTCTAAAACTGGGAAATGAATCAAATGGACAAAACATCTTATTTGCAAACAAATATGATTTCCTCCAAGCGTCCGGATGCCAAGAGCTGCTTTCAGCGTATGCCAAGAAGCCCTTATATTATTCCACCTTTCTATAGATCTGAGATCCCTTCCTAGCTCATCCCATTTCTCTCTGACTATACAACCTGAGCTACTTTTGACTCCTCAACCCAAATGTGGCATTATTTACCAAAACTCCTGATCATAATAAGCCTTTTAGTATCAGAATCCTGGAAGCTAATTTAATTGGAAGGAGGACCAGAAGGGAGAAAATAGAAAATGGAAAGTAGCCAAGCAATTTCCATTCTAACCAACTCCAGAAAGGGTGCTCAAGCATTCCAGATCTAGAAGCAACAAATCCCTGAAACACCAAAGTGCTTTCTGTTTTGAAGCTAGGTAAGGAAATCTATCCCATAAATCTGCAGAACCATCCCAAGCCGAAGAAGAACAGTCTATGACTGATTAGGATAATTGTCCCTATCTTCCATCAAAGGATATTGCTGCTTAGGAGGGAGATGTCCAGACCCACTGCTCACTCAGAACAGCATAGTCCAAGGTCTCGTGAGCAAAGCAAGGACTACACGTGACCAAAGAAAAGACAAGGAGCGAGACTTACCAGGCTGTCCAGCCCTCCTCCCAAGAGGTCCACGGCCCCCATCTGCATGGAGGAAACCTGGGGCACATTGACAGGGGGACCCAAGTCGAGGTTCAAAAGGTCGCCCAGCAGGTCACCCTGAGAGGGGATGACTTGAGGCTGTTCCAGGCTGGTCGTGGTGGTGGTGCCAACAGGACTATCTCCAGCATCGGTACTGTAATAACGGAGACAAAAATAGAATATGGAAAAGTCAATTCCACCTAGAACATAATGTTAAAAAACCAAAAAGGTGACTAACAGATGTGCCACGTTCGGAAAACACAACAGACATGAACAGACACTCGATTTACACCCTCTTCTTCAAACACCTGTTTGCACTGCCTGTCCCCCAGAAGGTTTCTTGTTGTCTTTGATATGACTCCGCCCACAAATGTCCTGTACCTTTTGACTGACCAGACAACATGACCCTCATCACTTGATTTTCATTCTCTCATGGAGCACATTTTGAGACAAAGAACAAGACATTTCTGTCTCCTTGACTTCTGGGTCACCTGCAATTCTGTTGCTTTGGAAATTATGGTGTTCCATGACCCCTCCCTCTTTCCCAACACAACATTACCTAGAAAATATCCTTAAAAACAATGGCTTTTTTTTGGCCAGGGATCAGTTTAAAGCCCTCTGAAATTTCCTAAGTGCCATCTAGCCCACTCTCTTCCCTCAATTCACTTCTAGGCCTAACTCCTCATCTATGTTTACCCTGGATGTACGTACTGATACAGCTATTCAAAAGATGGCCTGACAACCACAGACTGAGCGACAGACCTTCCGGTCACCAGACAACTTTTCATTCATTTCACTTTTCCTAGCCGGATCATTAGATTTCTTTTGACTCATTTCATGGAGGAGGCCCTACAATATTTTGGCACTTGCTCCCTCCAAGAGACCTTCAGCCCTTTCTTGCGCCACATGTTGAAAAGTGAAGTTGATGAGATGAAAAGGGCCTTGAAGGAAAAGAGGCAAAAGATTCTGGGAAGAGCCTGGAACACAAGTTTGGGCACTTTAGATTTGATGTGATAGACAATGATAAGCCATTGTATGCTCCTGAATACTTGAATGATATGATGAAAATTATATGGAAGCAGCCAATTGTAAGATGAATGCACATTAAGAAAATGAAGGCTGAGAAATCAGCTGCTAAAATACCTCAGATGAAAGTGAGGTGATCAAGTCCAGAATTAGGAGGGGTAGTTGTGAAAATTCAAAAGGAAGAGACAAGTCCAAAGAATATCTGAAGAAGTAAAATTGACAGAACTTAGTAATGGATGAGATGGGGGTAGGGGGGAAGAAAAAATGTAAAGAGAAGAATTGATATGACTGAGAGAAGAAAAGACAAGTAAGGGAACTCAGAGAATCACAAGAAGTCAGTCTTGTACCAACTGATGCAGAATGAAAAAGAACAAGAAAACAATCTATATAATCACTACAATAATGTTAATGAAAGCCCTTCACCCTTCGGAGCTGACATGGGTCATGTTCGGACCAAGACTGTGAAGAAGGAGGCGTGAGTCATCATCGAGAAGTACTACACCCACCTGGGCAATGACTTCCACACCAACAAGTGCGTGTGCGAGGAGACCACCATCATCCCCAGCAAGGAGCTCCGCAACCAGATCGCGGGCTACGTTACTCATCTGATGAAGAGGATCCAGAGACGCCCTTTGAGAGGTATCTCCAACAAACTGCACGAAGAGGAAAGAGAAAGGAGGGACAACTACGTCCCTGAGATGTCTGCTTTGGATCAAGAAATCATTGAAGTGGACCCTGATACCAAAGAAATGTTGAAACTCCTGGACTTTGGCAGTTTGTCCAACCTGCAAGTTACCCAGCCCACAGTTGGGATGAACTTCAAAACACCAAGAGGAGCTGTTTAATATTTACTTCTGCTTTCTTTCCAATAAACTTGGGAACCCCCCCCCAAAATGATGTTAATGAAAAACAAAAAGGCAGTTAAATTCAGATCAGATGCAATGGTCAGTGCTATTCCCAAAGAACACATGCTAAAACATGGCCAGAGACTCTAGGTGAAGAATATTGCAGATGCTGACACATACAGTAAATGTTTGTACTGGTTTTGTTTATTTGTTTTTCTTTAATATAAGACATGATTAGGGAAGCAGAGCATAATATTGAGAAGAAACTATGGTGTCAAAAAGGTATCAACATAATTTTTAAAAGATATAGTTTTAAAAAAAGAGAAAGAAAGAAAATGACAGAAGCACCAGGAAACCAGTGGCACTACTAATGGTAAAAGAAACAAACGAAACAAAAAATGGGATACTGAAAGAGATGAGATCAATTTTCAAATGGGAGGTAAGGGAAGAGAAAGATCTGGACTAGAGAAACAAACTAGTCAACAGATCTTGCATAGGTAACAATGGAAACCACAAGAATTGCTAAATTCTACTAAGAAATCAAGTAATTAAAAGGGAAGGAAAAAAGGGCTTTCACATGATACCCACAGTTAATGTACAGGTAGCAGGGAAGGATAAAGAACAGTCACAAAGGGTACAAAAGAACAATCCAACAAAAGAATAAAGGGGGAACCCAGTCATGGAAGCCAAAGAAGCCTCAAACTTCAAGAAGGTAATCAGCGTCAAGTACGGCAGGAAGATAAAAGGGAAAAAAAATTGGCCAGGAGTACCCCAAAATTCTACCACATCCATACCTTATGTCCAAGGCCCTGTCTTTTGTATCTGCCACTGAGTAATGTGTAAGAATATATGAGTTACCAACATCAACAGGTGGCAGACCGAGTAACAAGACAGAAAGTATACACAAATCCTACAGATCTGAAATGGAAAACTCAGAATAAGTATGGAGGTCTATGGTAGAAACTACTTCCAGATACAAAAATTTCTTTTAAAAAACCACACACACACACACACACACACACACACACACACTCTCTCTCTCTCTCTCTCTCTCTCTCTCTCTCTCTTAATGCACAAGAAATGGATTTGCATCAACAGCTCATTGGAAACAACAGTAAGGTTAACCCTAAAGCAATCTTTCAAAATGCTGAGATGTCCCTACATTAGACAAATATTTACCACCCCAACCCCACACCCTGGCAGAAAAGTATAGGGTACACTCAACAATACGTCTCTTATTCTACTTAAGTGGCAACCAAGATGAAATGACTACGAAAAATAAAAGAATTCCACCCAAAACACAACTCATCTAGTAATGAAGGTGTTTTAAACCCTTAGAAAAGACAGAACAGCATTTTCAGTGTGGTTTCATTTCACATCAGAGACAATAACACTTATTAATGACAAACTGCAAATTAATGCTGACGTCAGCAGTACTTCCAAAAGCATTCCATTAGCCACGGTTTTTTTTTTTAAGAGGAATCCTTTTGTGCCAACTAAACTCCTTGTAATAAAAGGCAGCCCAAGTGGTAGTAGCAACTCCAAATGATATCAGGGAAGGAATCATATAATAAATCATCAAACAACCAATTCAGAGATCTCAACCAAAAAAAAAAGATCTTTAAATAAGAGGTTTCCTTGAAAAATTTAAAGATTGGTTTTATTTCTTTCCTTATGCCCTAGAGAACATGTTCTTATAATGTTCCCCTTTATATCTGACAACCACTTAAAAAAAGAGACCTGGAATCCATAGGGGTTGCATATATCACAAAGTTAAGGGTGAAACAGGCTATCCATTTCTCCTTTGGTACTTTGGACAAAGCATGGAGTAAGAAAAATTAGCAAATTAGGCTTGCAACTGTGGCCAAGGCCCTTCAGGGCCCAGGGCACCTCTCAGAAGAGCCAGTCAGCTGCTGTTTCAGTAGAGGGATTTTCTCACTGGAAAGTTCCCCACACCAAGGAAACCACAGGTCCAGACATCCCCTAAATAAGGGCCTGGTACTGGGGATCAAACACCAAAGTGAGGCATCCCTGGTCCTCAGAAAACTTTGATTCTTGAAAATGTCACTTCACTTCTCTTTAGAAGGGGTTTAAAAAGTTCCTATTAGGGGTCACATTATCATTTTCATTAAAAGACTGACTGCTCCTTTTATTGTCAACAATAAAGCAATGAATTTCTATATTTTACCGCCATGTAACATTTTTAGAAAAGCCTTATTAATTTTAATGGCTTCTTCAGATACATCACTCATAAAGGCAAAATGCTACCCACAAACAGAGAAACGGAGGTAGAAAGGAAAGGCCACTACGCCCCATCAGAACCCAAGTCCCTGGTCAGAATCTCTGTCTACACAGCCTATTCACAGAGAGAGCTCTCTGAAGAAAGACCATCTGACTGACCACTGCTGATCTACTCTAATCACGAGAACTGTGGCCTGGCTACACAGTCACAAGAGGGGAATGAAGCCAGGCCAAGACCTGGAGGCCAACACTCCTTAGCCCTGCTCTTTCTCTGCCTTGACACAACCAGCAAATCCCTCCCAGAGCTGGGCTTCATTTTTCTTTTAGTAAAACAAACTGTCCCTGATACCTAACAACTACCAAAGGACGCTGTGAGGATAACTGAGGTGTTAACAGTACCTGATAACTAGAGTAAAACTTAGTGGTTTCTCATTTATCCTTCAGCACTCCCTCATCCCCTATATCCTTCCTTCCATCTCAGGTCTATTCTTCCTGTTTGAAATGCCCAGCTCAAGGTATTTTAAAGAGAATATTTTGAATTCCTAGCAGGCAACCCTTGGACATCAGTTTGAAAAGGCAGTGCTGGTACATCCCAAATTTTAGTGATTACAGAAGCTGCAAGGCTGAAATAACAGTAAATGGCATTTTTAAGTGTTGCTACAGGAAAAAAAAAGGTCTTGCACACACAACCAGCTGAGTGATGATAAATGAAGCCAACCCATTTTACTGAATTTGGCTTTTTTTTTAATAGACTGTAGAAGGACGGTCAGGAAATAATCTAGTTTTCAGGCAGACATTGGAATGTATAGACTCCAACTCTCCCTAAAGACAGCTCTTGATATAAATGCTTTATTATTAAATTGGGAAATCCAGTTCTCTGAAAACAGCCACAAGAGAGGGATTTCCATCAATCTGGACCAATCTTTTCCATGTCTGATACCAAAGCAGATAATGAAAACGTCTTACTAGGCTGACAGTTTAGAAATGTTATTTGTGACGGCCTTAACATCTCGTTTTTTATTTATAAAACAGCCCCAGAGCAGGGAACTGAAACGTAACGTGTTTTTTAAAGTTCCATTTTTCATCTAACTCTCCCAGCCACCCAACTCTGATAAGGAACCGAACCTGCCCAAGTATCTGGTAATCAGCAATAACCTTACTGTCAAAGACATTAAAGTTCCATCAATAATTACAAGCCCACAAACTCCAACCTACAACAGAATGAGAGCAGTAGTGCCTGGGAGCAGCCTACAGGAGTACACTACCATCACTGATAGCCAGCAGAGGGACTTCTTTTCCAGGAGACTCCCCTTCTGGCAGGGCAAAACCTGCCCCACTTAGCTGGATCTTTCTCCAAAGTGCTTACCTCCCATGATGAATGGGCAAGTGTTTTCGGTGGATCCCATGACTTCCCTCAACAAAAGCATTGGGAGGCTTATGATATACGGAGGCCAAAGAGCCGATGTGGCAGATGAGCTCGTCCAAGAGGGTGGGCTCAATCAGATCCGTCTCCTCAGAGATCAGGGGCTTTTCAGATAGGACTACTTCCTTGGCTGTCACAGGGTCCGTGGAGAGAAGACGCCAGTAGATATAGCCCCGGTCTCGAAGGTCAGGGTTATCAGAATCCTACAGACAAAGGAAGGAGTTCTTGTGGATTTTATCTGCAAAGAAAAACCCAAACTGCCTCATCTTGCACCACATGGATATATATGCACATATATGCACGATGCACCGTGTGGACGAAACGTAGCTTTTTCAAGACGATCATCTTATCCTTACTTAAAAAAAAAAAAAGCAGCTTTTAAAAGGGGCAGCTAGGTGGCGCAGTGGATAGAGCACCGGCCCTGGATTCAGGAGGACCTGAGTTCAAATCCGGCCTCAGACACATAACACTTACTAGCTGTGTGACCCTGGGCAAGTCACTTAACCCCATTGCCTAGCCAAAAAAAAAAAGTTTTACAACAGCTCTTATACGTCTTTTACTTAAATCTGTCTAAAGAATGTTTCCTTCTCAATTTCTGCTAACCCAGGTCAATCTTGACCTGCAATTTCTGGCACTGATTCTTTTAAAAGCACTTTGTGCAATGACAGAGTAAAATCATTTAACCTGGGATTGAGATTTATGCAAAGATCTCCCAAAATTTTCATCTTGTGAGAAGCAACATAGTTTAGTGTTAGAAGCACCTGAGACATTAACTCATGTGGACCTAGAGCACGCTCCTCCCTGTAGCTCAATTTGGAGGTCACTTCTCCAAACTCAATTATTTGAACCATGAAGGAAGCACAAAAGTCCTCTGAGCAGGGAAATACAATGTTCCAGTCTAGCCACTGAAGTTTCAGTCCTTTAGTCATGGAAGAGTCCCCATAGTCCTGACTTAAGAGTCTATTTTTGAAGAAGATCTGAACACAGCTAGTTGTGGATTCCTAGTCTGAAGAAGAATTTGAAGCAGAAACCAGAAATTTAGAGGTCAGGGAAAGAAATGGGGAGACGCGGATCATGAGACACATCTGACACCTGAGATAAAGGGAGTCTAGAATGTTACGAGGAGCAGAAACATGAACTAAGCCACAGGGAAGGGAGGGGGCACAGTATTTCAAGGCAGACATTCACACATGATGTCATCAAGTCTGAGCACATCACTGTGTACATCCCAGTGCAGACAAGTCCCAAAGCCCTACTTCCTCCCCGTCTTCTCGAATCCTTGCAATCCTGCTTCCATCCCCACCATCTGAGTCTTGACTGCTCCCTCAAAGAACAATTAATGATATCTTTTTTAAAAAATATTTTTATTGGTATCTTTTGCTTTTATATCACCTAGATTTCCTACCTTCCTCTTCCCCCTCCCAAAGAGCCATTTCTTGTAACAAAGAATTTTTTTCAAAAAAGAAAAAGAGAAAAAGAAATTTGGCAAAACTGACCAACACAGCAAAAAAACCCCCCAAAACTGACCTCTTCTCTCTCCCTTGTGGCCAACCCTGTTCTTTCTAATTTCTCAGCATTTCATTTGGATCATTTTGTGGTTACTGTTCTTTCCACTTCCATGGCCCCAGTTACCGTCTATGTTTTTTTCCTGCTCACTTACTTCACTCTTCATCATTTGACTTAAATCTTCCTATGCTCTTCAGGACTCTGCACTATCATTGGTTTAGCTATCCCACAACTGATGGCATCTATTTGTTGCTACCACAGAAAGTGTTGCTATAAAGATTCTGGGGTATGTGAAGGCTTTCTTTTCAACAAAAACTTTTTTGAAGTATATGCCTAATAGTAAATGCTAAGAAAAGGCCAGAGTGCTAAGAACTTAACAGATTATTAGTAACCTGGAAGAAAACAGTCTCAGTGGAGTGGTGGGATTGGAAGCCAGATGTCCAGGTATTGAGAAATGAGTAGGAGGTGAGAAAATGGAGGCAATAAGGACAAGTAACCCTTCTAGGACTTGGGCTCTAAAAGGAAGCAGATATAAGATGGCAGCTGAGGGAACAGGGAGGTCAAGTAAATGGGAAGGAAATGAGGCCAGAAGACAAGGAGAACAATTAGGAAAACAGGGAGGAGTGGAGTGACAAAAGGTCACAGTAAGGATGAGGTCTAGGAAGAATGAAGCAGAAAGAAAAATGAATGGATATGAGACTATTATCATGGAGGTGACAGTCATGGGAAGTAGCTCAAGTAACTCAATACTGACAGACAGACAGGATGCAGCAAGTGCCAGGTGGGTCAAATCAGCACCCCCATCTCACATGCCTGGGAGCTCAAGAGCCCTTGGAAGAACAGCCTCCTGAAAATACCAAAGCAGGGAAGCTAAATCCACCTCAATCGCAGAAGTTACTCCTTCAAAAAGGAGACAAAATGACCAGCAGATAACAATAAGGATCCGCTCTGATGGACTGAACCTCACAGAAGAAGAGAGTCTGGAAGTGACAGTGAGGAGCTAAGTTGTAGGCTGATGCTTCCTCCCAGTACAGCAGGTCAAGGAGCATAAGAAAAGGAGCCCCCAGCCTGTACAGGGTGGCTAGGATGTCACAACTTCTGGAGATAATCAGGTTTCCATGAACTACCAACCAGAGGCAGCTCAATGGGGCTGTGCACAGAGTGCTGTACCTGCAGTGGGAAGAGCCGAGTTCAAATCCAGCCTCAGACACTTAACTAGTTGTGTTAGCGGCTAGTATTAGTATTATTACTACCATCACCTGCCTTCTCCATACAGATAACTCCCAAATTTTATCTCCCAAGCCCCAAACCCACTTTCCCGATTACCAGTAAGAAATCTCTACCCAGATGTTCCAATCCAAGTCAAAACTAACACAATAAGAACTGAGCTTATCAGCTTTCCCACTAAACCTACTCCCTCCAACATGGTATGGTGGAGTGAGTGCTGGATCTGGAATCAGGAGAACCCTAGTCCTGTTGGAGGAGAAGCATGTGCTCAGCTGCCCTCTTCAAGCCCAACCCAAAAGCAAGAAAGGGCTTCCAGATGCTGATTTCCCATCACTCTGAACACTGCCTTCATGTGAGCATCCTCTTCACTGCCTTCCTACTCATCCAAAGACCATCCTGAATCAGGCTGAATGGAGATTTGGGATCAAAAGACAGATGCCTCTTGTGATCACAGGGTGCTACTAGGGATTCTGAGAACCAAGATTTAAATAGCAGACTAGTGAGCTCTGACTCCAGTTGGCTTTCCTTAGGACTCAAAGTTCATGGTTTCAAAACCAGAGAAATTCCAAAGCATACAGAAAAGGCAGACTTCACTGGACAGGACAGCTCTTTCTATTTCACTTCCATTAAGACAGCCTCCAAAATAAAAGCTAAAATAACAAGTAGTGCAGTGGGTAGAGAGTCCTGGGCCTGAGACAAGGAAGACCTGAATGACCCTGGGCACAGGGTCTATTGGCCTCAGCTTCCTCAACTATAAAATGAGGATAATATGTAAAGCATTTAACGTAGGGCCTGGAACACAGTAGGTGCTGTATAATTACTTAGACCCCTCCTTTCCCTTCTCCTTCCACTCCAGTGGAAGAAAGTGCTCGCTTTGTGTCTAGTCACAACTGTACGCTTTATTACCAAGTTCTCTAAAACAAGTAAATGAACATAAAAACAGGAAAAGATAAAATTCTTGGGGAACAGTCCCTAATTCAAAGTGGTTGGTTTTTTAAAATTTCTAACCAAAACTTTTAATTCTAATACCACATTAATTTGTCAACTTCTCTGATTATCAAGGAGCACAAAGGGCTTTGCACATATTTCACTTAATTCTTACCAATCCAGGGAAAACAGCAGGTCTAGTTTCCTGTGCTCACAGTGGTGTGCTAAAGGTTCTGATGGAGGGGGCAAGAGGATCCTGTGAGCCTTCCCTTTAATTCGTCACTCTCCCTCAACCTCGTCTGCTCTGTGCAGCTCAGAATCATGAGCTTCGAGCCTTGAGGTTGCCAAAAAGATGCCAAAGAGCTCATCAGAGGGGAGGGTGATCTCTATATATACTTCACCACATTATGTCTCCTTCTCGTTAATTAAAAAGACAGAAATGGTCAAGGTGATTAAAATAAACTGCAGAACAACATCACTTGGCACCAAATGTGACACAACCACCTGACAGCAGGTCTCGGAGCTCCAGTCACTGTTTCAGCAAAGGCTGAGTCTCTCAAGGCCTCTGCCAATCTTATGGTTCTACAATTCTGGAAACTCAGAATCAGGAAGTGGAAGATATTTGATTGAGCAAAGCCAATGCTCAATGACAGTTACCACCTTATTCCCAAGAATGTGGCTCCTCATAGAGGCAGCCTCCTGTAGCACATGACCCTGGAGCCACCCACCCACACTGGCAGTGTGACCCACTGTGCTCTAGGCAACTCTCTAAGACTCAAAAGTTGCAGAGAAAATTTTCCTCACCTGAGAGTTCCTTCTACCAATGAAATCATAAGTCTCTATCCTTATCTGTTCTACAAAGAAAGGAAGATGCTCAAGAGAGTGCAAAAAAAGGACTTCATATGTTATCAGGAACCCTCTAGACTGAGAACATGAAACAGGTAGACAGGAAAGACAATGTGCTGCTCCACAGGGCAGCACAAAGTCTAAAAACAACACCATGAACAAAGACAAAACTGGAAAGGGTAAAGTGAGCATCTGAAAGGTGGCAAAACCCACAAATCTCAAAGTGATTCTCTTTAGTCATTTGAGGATACAAAAAGATCCCAGACAATCACTCTCCTCCAAGAGCAGTTGTTCAAAGCTACAACAGTAGAAAAGAGATGTCTTAGATCCTTGCATTGCTGAGAATAGCTAAGTCTATCAAGGTTGGCCATTGCACAATATGGCTGTTACTGGGTACAGTGTTCTCCTGGTTCTGCTCACTTCCCTCAGTATCTGACACCCACTTTTGGGAGAGGGTAGAATACCAACTAACATCACAAAGTACCATAAACGCTGAGTGAGGGGAACATTTAGGAGTCAGAACAATGAATGAGAGGACACTCTTGCCAAAGTCCCATTTCTGGATCTGTCACCTGCTTTCAAAGAGACATTGGCTGAGTCACCTACTATGTCTACGTGATAATTTCATCTACAAAACAGGAACTGTGGTAACTCAGAAAGAGGCACTGTCAGATCCAGTCACCAAAATGCTCTTATGATAAAAGGAAAAAAAATTAAAGGCTATTTCATGAATATTTATAAATGTTTAATTGCCCATCAAGTCAATTCACAGACAGATAGCAGTAAATTACCCAAATTCAACAAATGTGGAAAACTTCCTTTATTTCATTATCAAGATACCCCTATGACACGTAAAGGCAGCATTCTCTTCAGGCTGAGGCCTCTCACAATGACCATTCCTTGGAGGGCATTCCATTATAGATGAGGAAACAGAAATAGCAAGTCAGCCCCTGTATTCATTCAGCATTCTTACCTGAGTCGCCAAGCTCAAGACCTGCTGGACCAGTTCCTGAGTTTCTGAGGGTTTCTTGAGAAACAGCTTCACTATTGCAGTGAGCAGGGTTAGCTGCACCTATAAGCACAGAAGTCAAAAAGGAGAAGGTAAATCAGGTCTTTGCACCAGCCCACAGCATTCGCAACAAAAAGGTGATCTTCTCCCCCATGAAGACAATGGGGAAGCTGGTGCCCTATGGAACTTGACTGATCCTGACTAATAGATAAGAGCTAAAATTCACCATTATGTGAAGTGGCATTTAAAGCACCTACCAACCTTTTGGGGTGCCAAAAATAGCGGCTTTGGTTTCCTGAGCCAGATAATTGATAATCTTTTTAGAAATGCATTATCGAGTGGTCCCTGACCAATTTCTAAATTATTTACTTCCAACCACAAGCTACTTAGCAGTTAGAGCTTTAGGAGACTATGGAAACAAGTAACCTTGTGACAAAAGCCAAGAGAGTGGAGACTTGTCAGGACTGAAGGCAGTTAGGGATGGCCTTCTGGTAAATTCAAGTAATAAACAGCTTAACTAAGAAGTTACTTGCCTAAAATGTGACTTATCTGAAGACGGTTTATTAAGGTTACCACAAATAGGTAATCTTCGTCAATTCCCCTACATAGCAGTTGGTTTAAAGGTCAGCAACAGAATTTTAATTATGCCTCTGAACTCTAAGTGATGGTGTAATGGTTTGCCAGGAATTAATGAGTACAACTCAAAAGTATACTGAAGTGTGGGAGAGAAACAATCACCTTGTGAGGTAATTATACCCATGTCAAATATGTTATATAGTGAGGAACCCCAGTGAAAACTCGTAGCCGAATCCCTCCATGAGAAGGACTCAGGGTACAGTAAAGAGAAAACTGACCTGGGTACTCTCATCATGGAAGCCCTCCAGGAAACTCTCCAGGAGCTCGTCTGCATTATCGATTCTCTCAGCATATTCTCCTACAATCCAGATCATGGCAGCTCGAGCGTCTGGCTCATCAAGGGAATCAAGGTTCTCACACAGAGTAGCAATGATACTTTCATACCTAACACAACAAAAACAGGTCTGATTACTAAAGGCAAACCCCAAACTTGCATTCAACAGTAAAGCCAGGTGAGATACTAGCACAAATGCACCATAAACCAAACTGCTGAAGCGAAATCATATGTATAAAAAACAACATAATCCACAAGATCTTATTTAAAACATCTTCTCAAATTGTCCTCTGCAGTATCTTACTAGGCAAAACACACACACACACACACACACACACACACACACACACACACACTTTCAGCAAGACCTAAAAAACCCTGAGGTATAAGGAAATATGACCTTTTATTTCTATAGAATTTTTCCTTCTTTAGATCAAAAAGAGCTTCCATTTTCTCAATTTATTTTCACATCACAATTATGAACTTGGGACGCTATTTCAGTGGATGCAGAAGAGAGGTTTTCAGCAGCTTCCTTAGAGCTCAAAGTTCTAAACCAGCCATGATCAGATGAGGAGCCAGGACCAAAGAGATTTTGTGGCTTCCTTTCACCCTAAGGGCTTCTCTTTCCCGAGAAATTCATGTCTTTTCCCCTTCACAATTCATCTCTTCTGTAGAAGAACAAATAAACCTAAGAGTGGCTTTTAGAGGTCCCCATGTCTACTCGTTTCTGTCACAGGAACCCCTCTCTTTGATAAAGATACTTCTGACCAGAGAATGTATCCTGGTGTGATACAAGTGCCCCGCCCCTGCCCCCCCCCCCCACATTTCCCAATGACATCAGCCTTGCTCCAAAGTCAAGAATGGCAGAATTTCTCTATCAATAACAGCAGTGGGAAAAAGCTAAGCCTCTATAACCCGACAAGATAAACACCTGCATTCTTCCCACAGTCACTTTCTGCAAAACTCTTTCAGGTTCTGGTAACCAGCCAGCTGCCTCACCACAAAATGTATCTCAACTAGTTGCTGAACTCACACTTGCTTACATCCCTTCAATACATGGCCCCACACATCGCATCAAGTCTGACCAGGAGCTGCATCATTAGGGAATAAAATGAATTTTTTGGAATACAAAACAACTGATTTTAGACTGAGGCTTTCAGTTCCTTGACTGCTTCCTAGAAACAACTTTACCTTAGCAGAAGCACCTCAACTTGTAAAGGATGTGGAACGGAAGGTGGATTTCTGCACCTTCTGGCTGGCAAACGCAGCACTGCTCCACAACAGGCCAGTCGGAGACAGTCAGATACATGATTATTACATGCTCACTGACTGTCCGCTGAGGGCTCCATATTTGAAAATATGCCATACAGTCATCTCCCTGGCTTTAACATGGCTTCAAATTCAGAAGAATCAAAGGTTATTGTAAATACTTATGCTGAACAGGCAATCCATGTGGATGTGACTATCACACCAACTTTTCAAAGAATAAAGCAAAGCAGACAGACACAGCAGTGACAGTTTCTAATAGAGCTGCCTTACAGGTCACTGTTTTTCCCCAAGGGCCTGAGGAGCAGATTTTAAGCAGTCTTCCTTCCTTCCTCCCTCCCTCCCTCCTCCTCCCACATACTTGTTGGGATATTTGCGGAAGATGTCCCTGATGACAACAATCGCCTCCTGAACCACATAGTTGACTTTAGTCTGGATAAGGTCCAGCAATGTGCTCACACAGCGCTCGGCAGATTGCTGGGAACAAGAACAAAAACGTGACAAGTCAGACAGACAGTCAGAAATCTGGTGTTCTACCCAGGAGGCATAAAGTATTGTCACCACTTGGTGAGCAATTTTCCAATGCATTAACCAGTAAAAAAAATTAAGACATAATTTGGCCAAGGTCTACCACAGTTTAGGCTGCTAAGAAACCAAATACTGAATGCACACTCAGCTTTTCAACTAGTCCTACAAGAAACATGTATCTCCCCTTCCTCCTTCCCCATTATACAATTTACCCTAGAACAATGTGCAAAGCAGAGATGGGATTGAGGGAAATCTGAGGACGTTACTAAAGAAAGACATTTTTAAGCTTTAGTGTCATCTCAACTGCAATCCTTGACAGGCCTGGGAACCTCGGGAAAGCACAGGCTCCTAAGCCCTACATTTGATCAGTAAAGTGGGGGTAAGCTCTCAGTCATTACAGCACTACACCTATTAACTTTATATTTTGCTGTCTGTCAACTGATACGTATTTGCGGTCTTCCCCACTAGAGAAAGGATACAGAGGAGGGACGGGCTTCCTTCTTTGTACTTTTATCTTTGGCACCTAGCATATAGTAGGCTCTTACTAGGTATCTGCTGATTTGATTAATACAGAAATAAAAATCATTACAGCAACTCTTGGGCTGTAGGCAAACGTGCAGTAAGAATAAGCACTGTGAAAATCAGTGACAGAAAGAAGCTGGCCAGGTGTGGCAAAGTATAGCAAAAAAAGAGGACTGACTTGGAGTCCAAGGACCTGGGATGAGTCCTGGCTCTGGCATTGCTCATCTGCGTCACCACTTTCCCTCCTTGTCTGTAAGATGGGGGAGCTGGCTCTGATGACCTCTGAGATCCTTCTGTCTCTATGACCAAGGGCTGCCGGCCCAGAGTCTATAGAAGGGGCACAAAGCATGGAGTGGAGGCTGCACAGGCCTTGACATGATGCCTTCCTTCACTTCTACCACTAAGTCTCTTTTTAGCTGAGACTGAAACTAAAAAGACCTTCAGGGTCACTTCCTCTGGATCTCATAACCTGTCAGAAACTTTAAGGCAGGCCCTTTCAATAGAAAGGCCCTTTTCCCCAAAGAATACTGAAGTTGTGATCTAATTCTCCAGTAACCCGTTTTATTGGTATCCTAAGCAAACACTAGGTCATCCAAGGTACACAGCACTGCACTCATATTACATGTTTAGGTAAATTTGCCTGTCACATCACTAGATTCAATTTTTATCCCATGAAATATGAACATATCTAATGGAAACCACAACTTTTTTTCCAAAACAATTCAAGCAAAACAGACACATCTTTATGGTTTATTTTCATCTTATTAAAAGTTAATATCCAGCATTTCCACTGTGCTGGTTAATAGACCCTTCTCTCACAAATGAGCCTAAATTTAAACCAGTAATCCACTCTTTATAATAGTCACAGAGAGCACTAGGAGAATACTGCCAGAGGGAAGGTCAACTGTGAGGCCCTCTAGTCCAAATGGGGACAATCACTGCAACTTCAACAGTTCCTATAAAAACAGCTTGAACGAGCTTTCTGGCCCTTGTTTCAGGCTATGGGGAAATCAGGGAGTTAAATCCTCCCCCTGATAAAAGAGTTTCCTCTAAGCGACTGAACACTAGGTAGAATCATTCTCATGGTCGTGTTCACCAGCCAATCTTGGCTAAGAAAGAATTAAATGACAAAAAATATTCAAGCACTGACATCTAGTTTCCTTGGAAAATCCATTCCTGTCAGGTACCATGAAAGCTGAAGTCCAATTTCTACGCAACCAACCAAAATTAACTCTAGCTTTTTGAAGAACATAATATGTAACAGCAATAGCCACTAGGAATTTGGATGGTCTAACAATGTGAGGCCTAGAAAATATTAATGTCGGAGTGAGGTGGTCAATTTTATATTATTTTTATAGAGAAGCTAACATACGGATCCTTACGAAGTACTGACTTTGATATGCATTGCCATGAACACAAACATCTACTACCACAGTACTTAATGGAATATCATTTACACACGTAGAGAATCTTACCAGGACCAACTGCATAATGGTAGCAGAGTATGATGAGGATACCCTAATATCCTCTAACTGACAAATTCTACACCTACACTAACAAAACCCCTGATAAAAAATCTTTATCTGAATAGCAGAAATGTGCGGTTTAACTCCTAGTCTAGAAGGTACAAAGTTTTAAGTTGGTACAACAGAAGAATAATTGTTATTATAATAATATGGTAGCTAACACTTAAATACTGTTTTAAGGTTTGCAAAGTGTTTTGTATTATATCATTTCATCCTGGCAGGTAGTACTATTATTATCCCCATTTTAGAAACAAAGAAACTGAGGCAGACAACAGTTAAGTGCCTTGCCTACAGTCACAGAACTAGTAAATGACTGGTGCCATATTTGAACTCAAGGGTTCCTGACTATGGGTCCAGTGCTCTCCATGCTATGACATCAGATGGCAAAATGGATACATGAGTTAGACTAACAGAGACAGGAAAAGAGCTCAGACTTACCTAACTCCAGCACCCTGATACAAATGCCAAGTCATATTTCCTCTAAATAATACATGAGGAGGATTTGTACATAAACATCTCTACCCTGAGCAGATAGACACAAAGAGCTCTTCTCCGATATGACGTGTTTCCTCCTAACCCCATGAGGTACCACTGGCTTCTCCCTAAAGCTATAGTTGAGCACGTTACAGCCAAAAGAGCACCTGAGAGGCCATTCCGGCCAACACTCCGTCCGATGCTCTGAGATGCACTACACCAAGCCAAACAGAAGAAATGAGGAGGAGAACACGCAGGTCTCATGACCTGGGCCCATGCCCAACAGCAGATACTTGCCTCAACTTTGATGGCACATCGGCCAATGGCTCGCACAGCCTTACGGACAAAATCAACATCCACCTCAGTTGCATACTCCTTTAGTTCTGCCAGGACCTATTAAAAAATCACAGGAGATTGAAAGTTATTAAGAACTCTCTGAAAGCAATTTCTTAGTATGTGTTTCTTCAACTCTAAAACTGAGTCTAATCCTAGAAAGATAACCTAGTATAAAAACAAGTCCTTTAGTGGTCTGACCTGGGCAATGTTGGCTTGGGAGGCCAAGCGGATCATGATGTCCAGCTTTTCCAGTTTGACATAGATAGGGTCGTTGTACTTCACAAAAAAGACTTTGATCTCTTGCTTTAAGATTTCAGGCCTGGGAAACAAAGGGAGAAACAGATAAGGCAAACAGACTTCCCGGGCATTTTTTTTCTTTCCACATTTTCAACTGTGGCTGTAGGATTGATATTTTCCCTCTACAAACATGGCTTTATTTGGCTCTCATCCACCTGTCATAGCTAATTCTGCTCGGTGGCCCAGTGGTATCTTCCTTCTGGGTAGACAATGACAACCACTCCCCTCCCCCACCTCTGAGCCAGACTGTAACATGGCCCGTAGTAAGCGAGCAGGCCCTGGCCAAGCAGCTAAAACAGGCCCATTTCCAAAGACGCAATGCTCTACAGCATGAGCAATGTGATCTCTTCATAGCTGAAGGAACATCTCAATATCAACTGTCTGTCCCTGATCTCTGAGCAAGATGGTCAAGTGAAGGACGTCTTCACACAAGGGCCTCTTACAGATGACCAATACCTGCATTGAGTCACGATGGCAACACATGAGAAGTCTCCCACCTTTTCTGTACAATGAGGTTGATGTTCCTCAGGGCGACATACTGCACCTCAGGCTCCCCAGACAGCAGAGTCACCAGCGGAGGAGCCAGCTTCCTCAGCAGCATGTTGTAGTAGTCAGAGTCCTTGGGCAGCAGCTCCAAGAACTTCATCAGGACTTTGACGGCCGACAGGACCACGGCCGAGTTGGCATGGGAGAGCCTGGGAGTCACCCGCTCACAGATGCTGCGAGAAAAAAAGAAGAAGGAAAATCAGGTCTTCCCCTTTCATTTCTTTTCCCAAACCCTTCTCCAGGGCTGTGAGTCAGAGTCCCATAACACAGGCATCAGGAATTAGAGATCAGAGAAATCAAAGCTTCTGCTTAGGTAAGACCAGGACCACCCAGGGCGGAAGCCTCATTCTCAGCAAGCTCAAGGAAGAGCGGGGGTCCAGAAGTTAAGAGAGGCAAAACAACAGGAAACCAGCCCAATCCAACACACTGGACGCTCACACCGTGTACCTTGCACGTTTCTTTGGTCTTTTTGCCTGCCCATATTAAAGAAGAGGGCCCTTCCTCATGACCCATCTCTCTTAGGCCTAAGAGAAGTCAAACTGATAGGCAAGCGGGTCAGGTTAGGATCTGCTTTCATAGTGAAGGAAATAAACCAGTCTGTGAATGAAGGTCGCATCGTGGAACCAAGGAAAAGCCCAGTTAAAAAAAGACCCATTGACACATCTCTGCACACACACATGGAATCTGCCTTAGATGATGGCAAAGAAATCTAGAATCAACTCCCAGCTGAAGGTTCTGCAAAAATTAGCATGATTTACACAGATCTAAGTCAGCTGCCCAACCCTGCTGCAGCTCAGGGCACAACACAAAGGGGTGATGTGATGGAACCTTAGAGGTCATGAGGAAATTGGAAATTATAGCTTTATTTTTCCCAGAAGGTATCACCTGCTATTTCAATGGTAAAACCAAAGAGCTAGCAGGACCCCAGCTGGACTCCCTTCAAGTCTAGCCCAGAAAGCAACCTTCCAGCCAGTGACAGCAGTGATACTGGGTTAGCTGGAGACTCCATCAGCCTCTGCAGCTGCCATCTTTGAACTTCTGAGAAGAACTAGCACACAGGGGCATAAAGACAGAAGGCACTGAAGAATACAAGCTGAACAGCAAGTTCTACAAGCATGGGTTTCATGTCACGCTACATGCACACCTAAAGAGAAATAAGATGTCCTTGTCCAGCTCTGAGAGCCAAATGGATCTGCATCCACAAAGTGGCCTGGAAAGCTGGTTCAGCAGCAACTGCTAGTCCCAACCCATGGTTAGCTCTTCAAACACACAGAACATCTCAAGGTCTAACTCAGAGCCACAGATATCTGCGGCTGATGAGAAAACAACACATTTTCTGCTCACTCACACCCCTCAAGGTGGAGGTACTTGTCTAGGACCCAGAATGTTGAATCCTTTAGGTGTGATTAAAGACCAACCATGGACTTAGCCTAGAAGATGGGAAGACACACCACAAACAGGTAGTCACACTGTCAGAGAGGATCTCCAGTCTCCCAGAAGATCAGAAATGAAATACGCAAGACAAGGAGATGGTGACGGCAATGTGGAATAGCAGCTCTGGAGTCTGAGTGCCAGGATTCAATTCCATTCTCTGACACCACTGGCCACAAGCTCCCTGGCCTCAGTTTGTTTTTAATCTATAAACTAGCCCCTGAACTTCCAGAAGAGGTCAACTGGGCTGTTGTAACCAGCACAAGCCTCTGGCGAACTCTTTTGTCTGGAACATTCTAATAATTAGCAATATCTAAATTTCCCTAAATCCAGAGATAAAATTCTGGGGAAAAGATGTCTTTCCAGGGCCACTGGAATTTAACGACCATTGAGTTGCACTTTCACAGCTTCATCAGAGTAATGAGGTCTTACTTGTGCACACAGACACTGAGACAAATTCATGAGTCCCATGCTTAGGAAGGGAATATTTCCCCCACCATGTTTTGGGTCAGGAGACTCACCTCTGAGCCTCCCGATCATCCTTGGGGTTGTAATTGGACAGGCAGTCCAAGATGAAGATCTGGCCCCATTCGGTGCACTCATTCAGGGCTGTTAACAGCTTATTAATGTTCTGAGGGTTCAAATCAAGCAGGTTGCTATTTGGATGAGACTCACTGATTTCTGACAAGGCTGCCACAGCATTAGCAACCACCTAGAAAAAAAAAAAGAGACAGAGAGATCTGGGTCACTAGAGAGAGTGCAGCTCAGGCCCTGTCTATCAAGCTGGTAGACCACTGTGTATACCGTGACCCCTAACTTTAACTGAACGTTCCACCTAAGTAGGAAGAAATAATTGGCAAATTACTCCAAAGTCATGATAAATCGTGGCTATTATGTACAGTTGACAGGAACAGTGAGTACAACTATCACCTGAAAAAAGCTTCCTTGCAGCCAGGCAATCTAGCATCAAAATAATCGAAAGCTCAGCACAGAATACTAGAAGATTAACACTTTTAAGTGAATTCAAGGTTGCTAATAAAAATTCTCTTTCATATGGTCAGAAGGATAACACTGCATATGTTGATAAAAAGTTCACTGCAATTCAAAGACAGGGACTCTGATCATTATTCACTGCCATGTAACGGACAGGATCCATTGATCAAGTCCTTTTAAACTCCATTAATTTTTCATACTCCCTCCTTCCTTGACCTTCAAGCCAAGAGGAATATACGCTCACCCTACCTTCCACCCCTATGTCTTGGTTGACTCCCCCCCCCCCAACCCCCAGGCACCTATGCCCAAAGTCAAGCCCTTTACTTTGAGGCCTAACTCAGATGCTGCCTCCTCCCCAAAAGCTGAAATGATTTTTCCCTCTTAGAATTCCTCCCAGCACTCTGGGCCTTTCCCTTACACTTATTATAGCCTCTAATAAAAACAGCTGGCATTTATATGGCGCTTTTGAGGCTTGCAAATCGCTTTACATGTGTGATCTTACTTGATCCTCACAATAACCCAGTGAAATAGAAGCTGCTATTATCTCCACTTTACAGATGAGGAAACTGGAGCAATAAGAGGTTAAGTGGCTTGCCCAGGGTTACAGAGCCAGGAAGTACGTGAGGCAGAATTTGAACTGAGGTCTTCCTAACTCCAGTCACTCTATCCACTGTGCCACACCAAGCTGTTCCTTTTATGAGTTATTTATACATCTTTTTTCCCTCCATTAGAGTTAAGAGATGATCTATATCATTGCCTCTTCGGTGCCTTGCACCTCTTAAATTCTTAGAAGACTCTACTTTAAATTTCCTCAGGTATATTAAGCATATTTTCAATTCAATTCTTTGCTAAAATCCCTAACCAGTAAGAAATGACAGATTAACCTAATTAAGGAAGAAAAAATACAAAATACTTGGATTATAAGAATTAGTAAAAATATTAAGTAGGTAATATGTAGAACACCTAAGCTTCAGAATTTACAAAGAAGATATGTAATTTGAATACCTTTTTGCACTTATGCCATTTTAGATATTATACACAGTCTATCTATGCCAATATCATTACTAGAGACAGAACAATAATCCCACAAATAGAATGCTATCGTTGCCATCTGGTGATCTGAAAAGATGGCAAACTGAAAATGTCAGCATCATTTAGTAAAAGATGAGATCTGAACAAAATAGAGAAGGCCTCCAGCCCCTCTGTCAGATGGCAGCATCTGGGACTAAGGCTCTACTTATCACAGGACATTTTCTGACTGTTGGTACAATACATCCACTGGAAGGTGCCATACCTTTGTGGCAAGAGTATGGTGAAATCTATCAGAAGAACGGCACAAACTATGGAAAAAATCTTCAGGGCTATGCCATGAGCTGACTTCCCTCCTCTCCCCACTGTGGTTTACCAGCAAGAGAAATTCTTCCACTTCCCACAGAAGGAAAAGTCAGACCAAGCTATGGCTACAAGGGCCAAAGTCAGCCACTAGAGGACTGAATCCCTGCTTTGGGTCATCACTGATTCAATCACCACTAAGACATGGTCAGGGCTACCAGCCGTCCAAAACAAACCTACTGAAAGGACCATCATAAAACCTGACTTACCATTTCTATCAGACTAAACTTCTTTTGTCTCCAAAGCACCTGAGGTGCTTTTTGATAGGTACGCTCTTGGTAGGCAAAAGACAGAGGAGGCCTGGGAAATCCAAGAGGGCAGTGGAAGGGCAGAAAAGTACTGGATGCTAAACAGAATGAGCAATTAAATTCCTCTATTAACAAAGGCTAATTGGAAATTAACCCAAGTGTAGAATACAGTTAATGAAGCATATGTTCAGCTATTTAAAAGGCAGTTTTTGCCTATTATCCTATTAAAACAAGAAGGAAAGAGGAGAAAGTATATCTAATTTAAAAGGCAAAGATAGAACACAGAGGAGAGAGGAACTCCTGACTCTAGAGCCGCTGGACTCTAGAAGTGACCAAAAGATGTTGCTCTGCTCCCCTCCAAATCAAGGATAAACTTAACTATGACCATCCAAACTCCAAAGCTAACACTACCCTAGCTGCTTTTATCTCTAGCTAGCCCCCCAGCCCAACCAAGCAGATTCCTACACAAAAGAAAGCACAGCACAGCACAGTGTATAGCAGAAATATCAAACACTCCACTGCTAAGTATGTGCCTGAACCAGATTAAAATGTCATCGGGACAAAATAAATAACAATACAATAGGACACCAATAATGTTACACAGCCCTCAGGGGTCCTTATGTTCAGTTTAGGGGCTCTCCTTCCCAGGTGAGTTTCATACACTGATAGAGGACACTGGCCTTGGAGTCAAAATCCTGCCTCAGATATTTCACTAACTCTGTGGCCCTGGACAAATCACTCAATCTCTCAGTGCCTCAGTTTCCTCGTCTATAAAATGAGAGGCTGGACTTAATGACCTCCAAGGACTCTTCCAACTCTAAATCTACAATGAAATCCTTTTTCAATTACCTCAACACACCTACTAATCCACCAACATAAAGGAATGATCCTCCCACCCCTTACGTTCAGCCCCCAAACTGCAAAGATTGTGCTATTTTGGCTATCTGTTTTCTATCATTGCATCTGTGTGACCTGTCTAAGTGACACTACCACCAAGTGAACAACACCGCCTTACTTACGGCCTGATACCTAACCAGTCAGGTCAGGCCTAACTATAAGAAAATCTATACTGGAGGGGAGGGGGGGTTGTCATTAACAAAAGTTACCTTTGCTTCATAAAATGATTTATGCCAGGGTTCCTTTAAATAGTGAATTTCCCCAGTATATTTAAATTATTTACCAAAATTTTACACATCCAACTCTTCAGGAACATATCTATCATACAAAATGAGGTGCCTTTGTCCATTCTGTTTCTCCATTATCCTAAGTGCCTTAAAAGCTGTAATCCATTCTAATCATTAATATTCATCACTAGCACAGGGACATGTTTAATCAATTGTGAATTTACAAGATTCTTTTTCTGACTCAGTTAACAAAATATTTCTCATTCAGTTTCCCAAAGATTCTTTTTTCTTTTTCTTTTTTTTTTTTTTGGTAAGGCAATTGGGGTTAAGTGACTTGCCCAGGGTCACACAGCTAGTAAGGGTCAAGTGTCTGAAGTCACATTTGAACTCAGGTCCTCCTGACTTCAGGGCCGGTGCTCTATGCACTGCGCCACCTAGCTGCCCCCTCCAAAGATTCTTTAAAACTATATTTGTTACAGGGAAGGGAGCAAAATTTAGACAGGAATCATGCCTTAGCTGACTGTGCTATGCATAACAAAGTATCACTACATGCATAAACGTAAGCTCAGATTTCTTTTGGTTAATTTGCCTTCAGAGTTTTTACAAAAAATTTAATTGCTATAAATTTCATCTACACAAATAGGAAAAAGAAACCAGAGTGTGAGGGAAGGGTTAATAGGCTCAAATTCAGTTTAAATAGGAAAAGCTAAGGCCAAAGAACTTCTGATATTATTTCCTAGCAAAGGTGACTTAGAGATTTAGAGGAGAAGAAAACTTTATTCTTCTACTGCACATCCTTCTTTCAGAGATAATCTTATTATGGCAGCGGTGAAAGAACAAGACTCACTCTTCAGCCATAAAATCTGATTGATGAGCCACCTCCATATGCAGGAATCCTGAAGAGGCAGAGACCTGACCTGGATTCTTCTTTCATGCTGAACCAGCGGGCAGGGGAGTCAGAAAGAAAAGAAACCTTGTTATCCAACAGGGCAGGAGGAGAAAGACTGGACACGGTTTCTTCAATTCAGATGCATCCCTGAAAGTTTAACTAACTTCCAGTCTTGCATTCAGAATCCCACACTGTTGTGGCCACAACGACCCAGGACAACTTATCACTTTCCAGTCCAATTACTTCCCCTTTTTATCATGACTATTTCTAGCAATTACCTTCAGGGTCATGTCACCTTTTGTGCAGATGTTTATTCACTCGAGTTTCTCCATTTCAAATATTTATTAACATTTATAGACATGATTACTTACTTTCTGGATGTTAATCATCATTATTTCCACACAAAGATATCAATAAACAATGCCTGCAACAATAGTGTCTTTACTTGCCTAATTAACAATTTCATACTTTAAAAAAATGAAAGAACAGACATAGGGAAATTCTATTCTGGATCTGATATTATAAAAATGAAAAAACTGGTTTCTGGGGAAAGGAATCCAATGTTACCATTCCTGGAACTTGTGATAGAAAAAAAGTTAGGCATAAATTAACACGTACTCCAAATTTGAGGCTAGCTGATCCGAAAGATTACAGAGAAAGGTTAGGTAGGAATTCATGGCCTAAAATTTGCTGGGAAACTCTCAGAACCAAAATTCTAAAGACACATAAAGAAATTCCAAGAGGAAGGAAAAAGGAGAGAGTTATCTAAAGAGGCCAAGGTAGATACAGGGGACTCCCCACCAACATAAAAGGCCTCTATATGGGAAATAAAAACAAGGACAGATAAGAGAAGGTTAATACAAAAGGGCCACATTGTCCCATATTAGCATAAGGAATGCTAAACCTTAAGACTATACATGAGCTGATACAGGGCAGCAATCCTACAAAAAGAAAAGATAACCAAAAACAGGAAAGACAGGCACACTAATGCTTTGTTGCTGGGGCGGTGAACTAGTACAACCACTCAGGAAAGCAATTTGGAATTATGCCAACAAGTGAGAAAAAT